GAGGGACAAGCGCAGGGCAGAGAGACCAGCCATGGCAGCGAAGGTCGCTTCCACTCACCCCTCATGCCCACGCACCAACCACGTGCCCTGCTGACCCCTCCCCCGGCCCATGTCGAGACTGGCTCACATCCTGAGTGGTCAGCACCTGCTAGACCAGCTGGCCAGCGAAGAGCAGATGAAAATCTGGTTCTTCCATTCTCAGGAGAGACTCGAAAGATGCAGGAAGGCCCATCGCATTCTCTCTTGTCAGCGAAGCCAGTTTCTCCCCCTCCGTGCCGCCCACCCTGCGTGAGCGTCTTGACTTTCTTACAAAATTTGCCATTGTCCGAAATACTGTCAATGGCCCATCCCTGCAGCTCGGCCTGCGACCTCAAGAGTTACATTCTCCCCTTTGATTTGGAAGCAGAAACATGGCCCTTCTGTCGTAACCATAAACCGCCCACACACAACACAGTGTTTCAATCAACACTAAGTGAGTCAAGCTGCTCCTGTTCTCAGTAGGAGGGGTCACTTAATGAAGCCCGTCGCTAAACCAGGGCAGCCGAGGAAAACTCGGTGCAAAACAAATAACTTCACTTTGCCCAAAACAAACTGTCTTATGAGGTGGATGTCTTTGGAAACTCTTTGAATGGTTAGGAACCGGACCAATGAAATGAACCTTAACAGTAAACCTTGAGCGTTTCTCTGGTGTTGAAGTTGGCAAACATCTGAGCATTACTTAAGAAACTCATGCTGAACAACCTCACGCTCCTCCTGAACTGCTTTCTAGTGGGGTTTTATACACAGATTACTGGGGGGTTATTGTTTGAGAAGTGAAATTATGCTCCTTTCTTCCAGAAGGGTTAGGGGCTCTGTAGGATTTTTAAGTTATTAAGTGCACATATGAGTGAGTTTCACCTGAGACTGGGCCTATTTTAAAGAGGTCATAATTATTTTGAGAGGACATGATGGAAATTTTATCTTTCATTCTTTCAATCGTGAAAGGATGCTGTGTCTATACAACGGAAAGCCCTAGGGGCTCCCTTGAAAAGCTCATAATGGATAGGTTCTCTGATTTATTTATTTGAAAAAAAAATACTATGAGCACCGTGCTAAGTCCTGGGATATGGTGATGGACGAGACAAACAAAAGCTCAGGCACGTGGCGGAAAGCTGCGCTCTCCGGTCGCCTGGCTGGGCCTCCCCCTGCAGCCTCCCGTTACCATTGTCTTTCTCTTGTCCCGTCCGCATGGTGCAGGGGCTGGGGAGGCGGTTCATGAGGAGCTACTGGGCCATCGGAGCATTGAGATCTTTCTCGTCTCTGTCCCCAGTGTTGACTTCTGCCCTTTGCTTAATTTCTGGTTTCTTTAACCTCTTTAAAGCCCTGCCTTTTCTTATGACTTTCAAGTTTTATACGCCGCAGTTAAAATCCTATTTGCCATCACTCTGATCACATTATTGTATTTTCAAGCTCCCAGAACACATTCTCAGAGTCTGAATTACAAAAATTTGCCCTATTTCCCCCCCACTTAAAATGGGGTGCTATAGTAAAAACTCCTTGCAGATTTGTTTTGCCTCACTTATCTGCCACCAGGGGCAGATTCTGAGTTCTTAAAAATCATGCAGCATAATACAGTACACATAGTAGGTGCTCAGTAAATAGTGCAGGCCGTGCATAACTGGAAGGCGTATTATAGGTTCTCCAGTCTGAGTCTCCTGTGTCATCTATGAGGAAACTGAGGCTTAGACAAGTTGAGTGGCTTAATAATTGTACAAATTGGCCATTGGAACTGGAATCCACATCTTTCGACTTCTGATTCAGGATTCTTCCTGTATAAACTCGACACTTCAAATATGAGCCTCAAAGTGTTACGTTCCTTGCCTCATTGAACCTGCTCATCTTGACCTGGCCTATACTCTACTCCGGCTAAACATCTTTGCTTAGGCACTTTTCATATGTTTGTTTGTCCATTATTTAATAAATATTTATTCACTGCCTTCTAATCACATTATACTAAATGCGGAAGACGTGTAGTACATAGAGACTATGTGGCTTCTGCTCTCAAGGAATCTACTTGGGAGGACACAGGCAATAATCTAGAAAATGAATACATAATTAGAAACAGGGTTAAATGCTGTGAAATACCCAGACATCATGAAGTGATTGGTGGGGTGGTGGTCACGAAGGGCTGAGGAAAGACATTTGAGCCAAGAACAAAAGGATCAGAAAAGAACCCCAGTTTGCATTCCTTTCCCTGTTTGGCTACAATCCTTGGTTCAAGCTATCACATGTGCATGAAGCAGTTCCAGTCCACTATGCCACACAGTGTCCTGCTCGTCACTGAACTTACAGTTTAAGGTCCACTGTTTTCAGATGAAATTCCCTAACTGAGTCTAACCCATTATTGAATCTTCTAGTAGAGTTTCCCTTCTCTAAGTTCAAATTCTGGCCAACTCCCTTGCCCCTACCCTCCAATGACTGCTTAATTGCTAAGAATGCGTTCCGATAAGTAGCACGATTATTTATTAAACTCCATGAGAACAGGGGCCTATTATTTAGTATTTATTTCAAACATCTATGAAAGAATTGAGCAGTCAGATACTTTATAGGTGGAGTTTCCAAGGATCTAAATCCTACATGTCAGTGTAGTTTTGTGTTTCTTTGTTTTACCATAGCACTCACTTACCAACAGATACCTTTGTGTCATGGAGAGATCGATGGATAACGCAGGCACTTACAAGATGGTTCTTATCCGAGGAGTAACTTTCACTTATCCAGTTGTCCAGCATTCAGTGGCTGAATGACAAGCACTAAGATAAATACTGCAGGACTATGAAAATAAGTAAGACAACAGCCCATTTCTAATGGGGGGGAAAGAAGCATAAACCTAATTAGGATTCCATGTGATACTGAGTCATGTTGATATGCTCTAGAAGCAATGTGTCAAGGTAGGGGAAGGGAGATCAGAGAAGACTTCATCCAGGTGGGTCTTGAAGGATGAATATCAGTTCCAGTCAATGAACAAAAGGACACTGAGATGTAACACCGTGCCAAACACTGAATGAAACAAGTTAAGTGGACATGACCTCTGGCCACTAGAACCTTCCCATCAAAGGGAAAATTGATGCAGGTTCAAGATGCAGGACGGAAGTTAAACAAATATGGCCATTTTAACTGAAAATGAGCACTACACTTTGAAAGAACAGGCGTCTTTTGCATGGTCATAAGTAAAAAAGGGATTATGGGAGGGTTTTTCCCAGTAGGGAATGGCCAGAACATTTCAGGTGGTCTTGGTAGCCAGTAGCCTGGCTGCAGGTAATCGTTTACTGGGATTAAACAGCTAGCATTGATTGGTTTAGTTTTGTTACTGGGCCTATAAAGTATTTCCAGTTACACTTTCAAAAACTGAGTACTTGCTTAATAATAAGACTAGTATCAGACTGAGTTGGAATGCACTTTCCCAAGGAAACTTTTCTTCTAAAGCCACTTACACATTTTTCAGGTGCAGGAAACAAAAGGAACTCTACTAATATGAGTTTGTGCCGAAATGGTTGATATTTTTACCATTAATCAACAGTATCTCTTTTGCTTTGATTTTTCCTTGAGTATCTGATTTTATTTTATAGCTTTGTGATTTTTTTTAACACTTCATGATTGTTTCCTTTAACTTTTCTAACTTCCTTTCTTCATACCTGTGAAAGGACATTTGATTTGGTCAATTTAGTGTTTCCAATAACAGAAGGAAATTCCATGACATTCAAGAAGAGGTCTTTCGGG